CCAATCCTGGCCTTTGTTTTTGAGTTTTTATTTTTTGCCTACAATTTGGACTAAATCCTGAATTTCCTGGCTCCAACAAGTGTCCCCTTAACAAACCTGGATATAATATATTAAACATTTTATTCTTAAGGATCCCTTTAGGAATAAGATCAATTTTTGTGGGACTACTTAAACTAGGAATTATAATTATCTAGACATTGGAATTTCTCTTCCTTCTTGTCAAGGTCTGTACCTGTTATTTGTTTCTTATTTTTAAAATCAATATCCTCTGCTCATGAAATGATTATGCAATATACACAAGAGTTCCCTGATCCACCTGTGTGGCCCCACAGCCTGGGACCCATGAATATTTATAATTAAGTGTGAAACAATGTTATTCCTCAGACTAAGACCCGTGCCCCTAGCCAGCAGGAAGTAGATGGAATGGCGGTCACCTGTAATTCCTCATGATGGAAGAATATACACAGAACAGTGGCGATTAAAAAGTTGATGAAACTAGAAACAAACAGAAATTCTTGAGCTAACAGGATGGCAGATGAGAAAAGAAACAACTTGCTGAAATGCTGGAACTCTCTCCACTTGTAAGATATCAAAAACTGGCTGAAATTGGTTGGAACCATTATGGCCAACTAGAGCCTGCACAGAGCTTGCTGATGTCACAGCCCAAATTCCCACCACATGTTTCATGTTAACTCCTCCCAAATTTGCACATGTGACCCATGAGGAGGCATGAAGAGATAACTGGGCATGCCCGAGGACTTTCCTTCCACCAATCACCTAGAATCTACCCCCTAAAACTTTTCTAATAAAAGTACTGTCTTAAAGTCAGCACAGGGAGAGAGATTTGAGCTAGACCCCTGTCTCCTTGGTAGACAACTCACCATAAAAGCGTTTCTTTTGTCAGGAACCCAGTGCCATGGTATTGGCTTTTCTGGGCATTGGGAGGTGAGTACCTTTTGCTTGGTAACAATATCTGTTCAGGGAAACTTTGGTTCCGGAAGATATGATGCTATTCACCAGTTCCATTTGGGGCCTCAGTTTTCTTGGGTGTAAAATGGGGTTGCTGTGACCTTATTCAGAGAGTTGTGAAGATTAAGTGACGCTATAGTATAAGGGCTCAGCAGTGCCTGGCACATGGCAGGCGTCCAGTCATCATGACTGTGCTTCCTCCCTTTCCCTGTTACCAAATGGGCTGTTTACCCAGGTTTTTCCTGGGCCTGTAATTTGAATCACAAATCTAGGTGCCCCAGCAGTCACTGGGACGTGTGCTTGATGGATATCTGTGTTTCCCTGTCACCCGTCTTCCTCTGCCAAGCTCCGTGTGAGTTGGTGGTGCCCACGTGGTCTGCACCTCCCCTCCACGCCGCTGCTGACTGGCGGCAACATCTGCAGCGTGAGTCCTCAGAAGTGAATGTTCTCATCCATCCTGTCACTATTCCCATCCTTGCACTTATAAACATTTTTTACTGTATGCCACATAACATTGCTAGTTGTGGTTCACTACGTGCCGATGCAATCTGATTATTCTGGAAGTTGTCTGAGTGAATTATCACATGAAGTATGTGGATAGCATCATAGCTTGCATTGGGCTGGGTTGTTGTTCTATGAAGGACATGTTCTCTCTCAAATTCCTCTTTGCCTAGCAGTGCAGTTAGAGATAGCCCCTTACTTGCATGGGGAAGGAAGGGCTAGGCTCTCGAGTCTGCCAGAGCCTCCTTTAAATCCCAGCTCTCTGGCTTCCCAGCTCCTGCAAGCACCAGTTTCCCTGTGTGATATGGGGAATAGGATGATTTGACCTCGTATGCAGAAGATAGGAGTTCACTACTTTTCACCGATTGTATCTGGGGTATCCCAGGTGCAGGTGAAGTCTTTTAAAGCAAACACATTCCTTCCCCCTAGGTCTGAGGTTCTCTAAGTGTGGTCCCTGGATCAGCAGCATCAGCATCACCCTAGAGCAGGGGTCCTCAAGATGGCCCATGGGCCACATGTGGCCCGCCGAGGACATTTATCCGGCCTGCTGGGTGTTTTTACTGCTGCTGACTGTCCTGCTTAGCAGCCGACTATGTGCAGTGTGCATGGGAATTTGTTCATAGTTTTTTTTTTTTTTAAAGCTATAGTCCGGCCCTCCAACTGTCTGAGAGACAGTGAACTGGCCCCCTGTTTCAAAAGTTTGAGTACCCCTGCCCTAGAGCTTGTTCGAAATGCAAATGAGAAACATTGCGGTGGAAGCCAACAATCTGTGCTTCGACTAGCTCTCCAGGTGATTCTGATGCACGCTCACGTTAGGCTGTTACTGCATCAGGCCACCAGGCAGAGAAGGCTTTTGGTTTCTGTTAGTATTTTCATATACTCATTTATTTTACATTAGTGGAGGGTTCCTAGTTAGGGACGTCAGGGACCAGAGCCTGGCTTCAGTGTTCCGGACATGCCAACCTCAGAGACACAACAGCCTCCGCTGAGCCTGCAGAAGACTAGGAGAGTCACTGTCCTGCTTCCTGCTCAGCTGTGCAACCCTGGTGAAGGTTGGCAAGGTATTTCTCCACTGAGGTCCAGGTTTACCTCCAGGGTCTAACTCAGGATTCTTAACTTGGGCACCATTGACATTTTGGGTTGGAAAGTTCTTTGTTGTGGGGGGCCGTTATAATTTGAATATGTCACCCAACTTTCATATGTTGGAAACATAATCCCCAGTGCAACGGTGTTGAGGGATCAAACCTTTAGGAGGTCATTAGGTCATGAGGCTCTGCCCTCATGAACGGATTGATGTCGTTATTGCAGGAGTGGGCTTGTTATAAAAGCGAGTTCTGCCCTCTCTTGGCTCTTGCACATGCTCTCTTATCCTCTGCCTTCTGCCATGGGATAATCTGGAAGGAAGGCCCTCCCCAGATGTGGGCCCCTTGACCCTGGAGTTCTCAGTTGCAAAGAACTTGACAGCACTGTGTTCATTCCCTAGCACTTTGTGGAAAGCAGAATTTAGAAGCAATGAACTTGGATATTTGGAACAAGAAATTTCTAAGCAAAATATTGAAGGAGCTGTGTGGTTTCTTTTAACTGCTTAATGGTAAAATGAGAGAAGAAAGGATTTAAAGACAGAATTTGTAATTGTAAGGGAAGCAGAATGGAAAGATTTGGAAAACTCTCAGCCTGGCCATGTCAATAATAAAGAAACATGTTCAGGAGTGAATACCACAAGTGTGGTAAAGAGACCACTTGATGAGAAGAAGTATGGATAGAATGAAGCCCAGGTTCTATTTACCAAGGCAAAGAGAATGACCCTTGAGGCATTTCAGAGATCTTTGAGGTAAGCTACCACCTTAAAGGCAAGGTTTCCAGAGAGGTGCCCATGGGACTTCAGCATTCCCTGCCCAGCTCTGGCTCAGGGCTCTGGTCCCCCAAGTCCAGCTCAGCGCCCCTCAGCTGCCAGGGCCATGGCTCCAGCCGGCCCAGGTGTGGCTAGTGCTGCCCTCCAGAGGGCGCAAGCGGTAAGCCTTGGCCGCATCCGCCTGGTGCTGACTCTGCAGACCCGCAGAGCACACTGGCTGCAGGTGCCATGGCAGCTTCCACCTAGACTTCAAAGAATATTGCAGACAGCCCGGGGGGCCCAGGCAGAAACCTGCCGCAGCAGTATGTCATCTGAGAGAGTTCGCACTAGGGAAATGCCCAGTGGAGCTCTGGGCGTGGGACGGCCACAAAGACCACAGAACTGTAGAGCTACCAGCGTGCAACCAGTTGGGTTTTGGACTTACTTGGGACCAATTTCCCCTTTCTTCTTGCCTATTATTATTTCTCCCTTTTGGAATGGAAATGCCTATCCCTTGCCTGTCCCACCACTGCATTTTGGAGTAGATAACTTGTTTAACTTCTCAGGGCTCACAGCTGGAGGGAAATTTGCTTCAGGATAAATCATACCTTAAGTCTCACTCATATCCGATTTAGATGAGAGCCTGGACATGGGACTTTTGAGTTGTTGCTGGGACAAGTTAAGATTTTGGTGGCTATTGGAATGGAATGAATGGGAGAGAATGTTATGGTTTGAAAGTTCATGTGTTGGAAATAATCCTCAATGCAACAGTGTTGAGAGGTGAGACCTTTAGAGGTGAGTTAATGTCATTATCATGGGCTTGGGTTCATTATTGGGAGACTGAATGTTGTAAAAGTGAGTTTGAAAACCAAATACTGCATGTCCCCAGTTATAAGAGGGAGCTAAGCTATGGGTGTGCATGGTCATACAGAGTGGAATAACAGTCACTGGAAACTCTGAAGATGGGAGGGGGATGCGGGCTGAAAAATTACCTATCGGGTGCCATGTACACTCTTAGGGTGATGGGCACACTAAAAGCCCAGGCTTCACCACTACACAGTTCATCCACGTAACAAAAAGCATGTACCTGCTACATTTATTGAAATTTAAAAAAAGATTTTTTAAAAGCCCTTTTGCTCTCTCTTGAACATGCTCTCTTGCCCTTCTGCCATGGGATGAGGCAGGAAGAAGGTTCTTGCCAGATGCAGGCCCCCTTGACCTTGGGCTACCCAGCCTCCAGGACTGTGAGAAATAAATTTATTTATTTTTTTTATAAATGGCCCAGTCTGCGGTACTCTGGTACAGCAACCCAAAACGGACTAAGAGGCCATCTGTGTGCTGTAGGATGTTCAGCAGGATCCTGCTCTCTGCCCACTGGATGCCAATAGCAGCACACCCCTAGTTGTTAGCACTGAAAATGTCTCCAGACACTGTGAGATGTCCCTTGGGCAGGGGGCAATGTCACATCACACCTTCCATTGAGAACTCCTGGTCTTACTTGCATGACCACTGGAGTAGAGGTGGTCACTGGGAAATTCTGCTGTCAGGAGAACCTGCAGTAGAGGGGTGAGCTATGTAACTAGAAGGAAGGCTTCTAATCTCGGCTCCTCCAATTACTTAGCCACGTGACTTCTCTCCCTACCCCCAACTCACTCCTAGTCTCCCGAAACCAAAAAGTCACACACACACACACACACACTTTATTTTCATAAATGACTTTTACTTCTTTATCATTTCTCTTGACAGTAATTCTTGGCAATGTGCATATAATATGAAGGGAAGCAGAACTTTCAGAAGTCATCAAAGATACTGTCCTGTTGTCCTCATTTTCTCAAACCGTTAAAATATTTTCATTTATAAAAATTAATCTAAATATAAATATTGACACTAAAGATCAAAATCACTTGATGACAAAATAAGTCTTCTGGAACTATAACATATGCTTATGGTTTTTAATAGTAAATTAAATCTTTGCACTTATTTGGCACAAGGAAACCTTTATAAAAATTCGAATGCCACAGAGCAGGCTTCTTCTTCTTTTCGTTTTTGTTTTTGCAAGGCTTACACAGTACACGTTTTTGTCAAAGGAAACTGAGTATTTTAACACTGTAACACAACAATAGTTGCTGTTCATGCCTCTTAAAGAAAACATTCTATTTGGAAGTCAGATCTTTTTTTTGTTGTTGTTGTTGTGTTTTTAAAAATTTGTTGCTTGTTTTGCTTTGAATCACCCCAACAGGAAAGTCAAAGATTTGCTTATTTCAGAGGAGTTGTTTCTGTTAGATAACACATACATGGCATCAGCAAGGTGTATTATTGGAAGAAATGTAGACCCCCATCAGGAGTGGCTCATAGCACACAAATTGGCAGCAAATCACATAGCAGCGAAAGAACACGGAGGTTGAAAACAACACAGAATTAGGCTTTTGTGAGGCATTCCAATTATAACTAGGTTAAAGGTGTGGCTTTGGCAAATTAATCTCTCTGGCCCTTAGTTATCCAATCTGAGACATGGGAATAACAACTGCATACGGTTGCTGTAAGGACTAAAATGAGAAGAACATGGCCTCCTTCGGATCAGGCACTTAACGCTCATTAATCACACTACTCTCTTGCCCCCCATCTTTCATCTTCTTCTTCAGATTCAGAATATATCAGGAGAAAACAGTTTTTAAAAAGATTGCTAATGCCCAACTGAGCAAAATTCAAGTTCCCTTTGCTTTTATAAGCACATTCTGAATAGTCATGCATTTGAGACAGGTCCAAACAGACCACAAACGTGGAGTTAGTATCAACTCGTGTCCATTACATTCACAACTTGTCCTTGCTTTTCTCATGCCTGTAAATTGTCTAAGCCTATTCCCTAAGCATTTTTATCTTTAAGGTCATTTTGCTACTTTGATGAATACTTATATTGGGGAATAAATTTTGGAGGACAAAAGTGTTCTCGTGTGGTTATATTTTTCAATAATTCATTTTTTAGATGTGGTCATTGCTAAACTGCATCGTGTTGATTCTGGACAGTGCCCTAAAGTTGAACCAATGGTGGTCTTTTTCAAGCCCCTCTCCCCTTCAGAGTGGGGAAACTCAGTGAGCCCATGGAAGAACCTTACATTCTTAATGAGACATTGTTTCACACGGGGGTGTGGCATGGGAGAGTCAGAGCTTTCCATCCTGTGGCTGGTGACTGCAAAGCAATGGGAAGGACAATTGGTAGCGCAGTGAGCTAAGGCTTAGCAGGAAGCAGGTGGCTGAAGGGAGACCTGCAGCCTTGCTGGGGAGCAGTCCCCAAATTAGACTGTCCCTCGTGCTGACTGCAGGGGCTGGCTTTTCCCTTAGCATTTATAAGACAAAGATGCTTGCGAGAGATTAATAAGCATTGATGATGAATTCAATAGTAACCCCCCCTTTCCTTCCCTCCACCCCCTCCCAACAATTTTCCCTCGGACAAATTATTGACGTGAAATTCTAGTCGAATCAAAGGGATTAAAACAAAAAACAAAAACAAAGATCTTAAAGTCAACACACAGTAGCAAAGCGAACAGGGAAAAGATGCATCTTTTGAATGTGGAGCTCTGTTGTTGGAAGCCAGCGTCTTGGTTTTTCTGTCTTGGATTCCCCTGGGAGCCTAAGGCAGAGAGTGGGCAAGACCGCGATGCTCAAGTCTGAGACGGCTTTCTGGGTGAGGTATCAGGACAGCCCTGTGACGGTGCCCTGCGGCTCCCCAGGCCTTCTCCTCAGGTGGGAATCCGTACAGTAATCGATGGCTGTTGGGTCAAGGCACTGTCGTGTACGGCCGAGGCAGTGGGTCACTGGCAGTGGAGTTCCATGGCGTTAATACATCACAGCTGACTCCAGCGTGGGCTCCTGCAGTGAGACACGGGACACACTGTCAGCAGCCACGTGGCAAGAAAGAGAGGAGGCAATCAAAAATAACATTGACTGCTTTGTATATCAAAAACTATTCATGCTCATTGACCAGTTAAATATTTTACATCATTTAAAAAGTGATGTCATTTTTTCTTAATCCACCTGAAATTAATTTTGGTATATAGTAATTATTTAACTTGCTTGCTTTCCTACCACCACCTCGATGGGCAATTTCCCAATCACAGTTCTTTGATTCCTCAATAATCTATACTTTTTCTTCTGGCTCCTAATGCTTTCAGAAAGATCATATAACACATCTCGTATGTGCCTGTATCTATTTCTGGGCTTTCTATTCTATTCCCTTAATCATGTTTCTTTACAGCTTTTGTTTTGAAACCTGGCAGGAAAATCATTGCCATTTTTGCAAAATGCTTTTGTCTATTCCTTATGATTTATTGTCATGTGAACTTTAAAGGAAATTCCACTGAGATTTTTATGAGAATTGGATTAAGCTATACATTAATTTGGGAAGAAATGACTTTTCTTATGGAACTATCGATGTGATTTATTAATTGATATCACGATATTTAAGGTGTCTTTGCATTCCTACATCTACCTGGTAATTTATTATTTAATGCACTACTGTGTTTAATTTGCTAATATTTTAATTCATATTTTTCATCTCTCTGAAAAAGTATAATTAGTGTGTTTTGTGTGTATCTGTGCATGCCTGCATGTGACTGAACATGGGGCACATGCACATGCTTACCAGACATGTTAGGCTTCCATAGTCTGGGTTCTGATAGTTTTACAACATCAATCTTTTAGCCTTCAATTTTTTAATGCTCTGGAATATTTTCTATGTAGCAAGGGAATTAACTATTTCTTAAAAATTAATCAGTAAAATCATTTGGCCATGGAATCTTTTTTGGAAGGTTTAATAAATTTTGAAATTTCTTTTCATTTCTTAAGTCAGTTATTAGTAATATTCTGGTTTGATTCTGATGTTATTAGTACTGAGTGTTTTAAAACTTATTAGAATAATTTTAGATCACACTGTATATTTATATAAAAATTTTATATCCTATTATCATCTCTTAATTTAATGTTTTTCTTCATGTGACTTACAAAAAAATTTCTATTTTTTTTCCAGATAATCAACTCTTGAATTTTTGATAATTTCTATAGTTTTCTGGTCATCATTAATTGGTTTCTGTTTACCTTTGATGTCTGGAACTCAATGTCTAGTTCATTTGTTTTGCCTCTTCCTTCTTTAACAAGGAAGAAAATATTTCATACTATGAATTTGACTTAGTACAGTTTTATATGTATCCTGTTTGCTTTGATATATATAATGTTATTTTCTAAGGGCTCTGTGGATTTGCTTTTTTCTTTAATTCAATAGTTACTTTGAAGTATGTACGTGAGAGTGTGCATGTTTATGTGTATGCATAGTTATAGATATATGGGTACAAATACTGTTTAACTTCCAAGTAGGGTTTCAGCTTAACTTGTGTTCTAATTTCCTAGATTTTCCCTGTCCATAAATAGCCACCTGTGGCTATTTATGTTAGATGAACTAACATTAACTAAAACTTAAAAATCAGTTCCTACAATTCAATAGCCACATTTCAAGTGCTTAATAGCCACGTATAGCTAGTGGCTATTACAGATGTAGAATAGTGCCATATCATTATACAAAGTTCTATTAGACAGAATTACTCTAGATTATGTTTGGCATTGTGGTCACTGAAGGTAGTTTTACACTTTCTACTTTTTGGAATTTACTGAGGTTTTCTTCGTAAGCTGGTATAAAATAAATTTTTATAAATGGCCCATTGATACTTGGAAAGAAAGTGAATTAATTTGTAAAGTATAAAGTTGAATAAATCTCTCTCTTTTTTTTTTTTTTTTTTTTTGAGACAGAGTCTTGCTGTGTCACCCAGGCTAGAGTGCCATAGCGTCAGCCTAGCTCACAGCAACCTCAAACTCCTGGGCTCAAGCGATCCTCCTGCCTCAGCCTCCTGAGCATTAAGACAAAGATGGCATTTACCATCAAATCCTTTCCTTTCTTTAGTTCTGTTCATCAAGGGACTACAGGCACATACCACCACGCCTGGCTAATTTTTTCTGTTTTTAGTAGAGACAGGGTCTTGCTCTTGCTCAGGCTGGTCTCAAACTCCTGAGCTCAAGCGACCCTCCCGCCTCAGCCTCCCACAGTGCTAGGATTACAGGCGTGAGCCACCGAGCCTGGGCAAATAAACCTTAATAATTACAGCTTAATTAAATTACAGCTCTTAATTAAAGCTTAACAATTACACTACTTAATTCTCGAATTTGTGTTTATTTATGGTATAAAGGCTGATAAGGGAGTTTTAAAGTCACCAACCATTGCTACATAATTGTATTGCTCTATTGTGTGCCTAACTGAGAAAGCCTCATGACTTAACTACCTTATTTTAGCAAAATTAAAACATCCTTCCTCCTTGTTTTCTCTCAATGCTTCTTGTCTTGAATTCTCCTTTGGCTGAAAGTAATATTCCTGCCCTTTCTTTTTTATTTTTGTTTAGCAAATATTGTCCATTCTTTCATTTTTAATCTCTCTGTGTTACTTTAAGGTCATTTGTTTCATTTTAAAAAGTAACTTATTGAGGTGAAATCCACATAACATATAATTAACCATTGTAAAGTGAACAATTCAGTGGTATTTAATATATTCACAAGGCTGCACCACCACTATCTTTATCTAGTTTCAATATATTTCCATGACTCCAAAGTAAAACCCCTTGCCCATTAAGTAGCTTCTTTCTATTCTCCCTCCCCACAGCCCCTGGCAACCACCCACTTATGTTCTGTCTCTGTTAAAGATAATTTATCTTTAACTATCTTATTTATAACCAATTCCTCTCCAACCCTGGGGGTCTGCCCTTTTAATGTGGTAATGCATCATTTTAGCTGCTCGGAGTAACAGCCAGGAGCAAGGTGAACAGACTTTAAAAGGTCAGGGTCAGTGGCTGACCAATGAAGGAAAGGCAGTGAGTGGCACTGTGGCCATACAGTGCCTAAGGGAGTAGATTATCCTTCAGAATGATGTGCCCACCATTGAGCTATTACTTGCTGTTTCTGTGCTCTTGAGACAGGGACAAAGAGGGGCAGGGGAGGGATGGGTGATACATAAAAGGCAACAGATTGTCCTGCTTCAATCTTGTCATCCCAGACATGATCTATACTCAACATAACTGGTCACTGAGACAGCTTTGTTGGATCATCATTTCCTATATAATCAGCATCAAGCATTTGCCAAAATGCTAATACATATTTTGGTTTTTAAGCAAATGATCCATTAGCCCCCTTTATATGATAGTGAGAGTTTGTGCAAATTGTCTACTGCCCCTTCCTTTGTCACAGTTAGGGATAGCTGTTGGTTTTTTTTTTTCAAGAATACAGCATTAATGGCTAAAAGGAAATTTCAGAAAGAGTGAATATGGATGGAAAACAATAAAAACTCGTACATCTCAACCATACCCTTATACTCCTGTGCACATATATTTTTATTTCTCTTATATCAAAACTGGTTCCTACAAGGAGCTGGAGATATAATTGAGAGGATATGCCTGCATTTTAAGACATTAGCAATGCTACAACAACAGGCAGGATGTTATTCACCTTTTTCAGAACCCCCAAAAGCCAGGGGACCATGAGACCATGCAGGGAAGATGCTTTTTGGGGCTCTGATGGGGGGCCGGGGTGCAGAAGGAAAGGCTGCAGAATGGAGATACCATCCACAGTGAAGGTGATGAGCATTAAGACAAAGATAACATTTACCATCAAATCCTTAGTGGTGCTTTTCCTTTCTTTAGTCCTGTTCGTTGAGGAGCCTTGGAGAATGAAGTTGCGGTTAAATGTTTTAATGGTGGTCACTGAAGATGTCTCAATTTTTTCAGCTAAAAGGAAATAAATGGGAATAAGTGTTAGCCAGAAGATGGACTGATGGTTAAGGAAAAAGAACAGGTGGCCAGATTACTTAGGCTTTTATTCTTGGCTTGGCATCTCATTCTTGTACTGCGTTTGATGCAGAATCTTTTTATTTCGTGTTTATTTTTATGATTGACCAAATAAGTCAAGGGATCATTTGTAGCTTTCTGGGAAAAAGTAGGTTGGGAAATAACCCAATAGAGTCCATAAATTCTTATTGACAATTCTGAAGTATAAAAGGCTGCAAATATTTATAACTTGGGAGCCCAAATCATCTGATTACAAAACGTGACCTGAACTGACATGTGGCTATTTAAGGTCCTTGTCCATCTCACCAAGCATGAATGTTCTCGTGCTTTGCTGCAAAGACATCAATGTGTTTGGTCATCAGATGCTGCCCACACGCCAGGGGGGTGTTAAGAAATATATAGTACATGTAATGTGCCATATTAGCTTTATAATGCCCAAGAAATTGTGAAATACATATGGGCTCAAGCATTTCAAATAAAGGATTATAGACCTGTGATAAATTTTAACGGTGTAGGTTTTATAGAATATAAAGTAAGCATTCATAAATTTGTTAAATGATGAGTGCCAGAACCAAGGTTCAAATGCACATCTTCTGAACTTTCTATTCCTCTATTTGTAAATCAAAATTTCTCTTGTGGCTTCTGAACCCAGGGAAACTGTTAAAAATGTCCACTGGATAAAGGTGACATGACTGGCATCGCTGGTGTCCCTTTTAGGTTGGACGCTGTGGCAGATGCTTTTGGTGTTCTGTCTACTTCTCCCTGACAGTCACCACCATTCCAGCACATGCCAGCAGATCCTATCATAACACCAGCACTTGCTCTTGGTTATGCTGGGGCAGATCAGAAGTGCCAGGGAGGTAGTGCCCCCAGAAGTACCCTCAGCCAGTGATGGACTGGAGCTAGAGGACACACACCCATCTTCCTCCCCTTTAGGCAGGAACTCTGAGTTTCTTCTTCAGAGTTCCAGGAGGAGTTAGCTTATTGACCCAGAGAAATAACCAACCAACTAAAGTATTGGCCCACCTTCCTTCTCGGAATCATGTCTCTCCTCCCCTACCTGTGCTTCCTGGAGTCATCTCCCAAATAAATTATTTGCAATCCCATCTTGTTGCAGGGTTTCTTTTTTCTCCCCAGAATATTACAGGGGTTCAAACACTTTGGTTACATAAATTGCCTTTGCACGACCAGAGTGACAGCCACAAGTGTGCCCATCCCCCAGACAGTGCACACCACCTGTTAGGTGTGAATTTATCCATTCCCTCCTCCACACCCACCTGCCCGACACCCAAAGAATGTTACTTCCATGTGTGCACATGTGTTGAGCAATCAGTACCAATTTAATGCTAGTAACTACATGTAGTGCTTGTTTTTCCACTCTTGTGATACTTCACTGAGAAGAATGGGCCCCAGCTCCATCCAGGATAATACAAGAGGGATTAGCTCACCATTTTTTTTTTTTGTGGCTGAGTAGAACTCCATGGCATACATATACCATGTTTTATTAATCCACTCATGTATTGATGGGCACTTGGGTTGTTTCCACATCTTTGCAATTGTGAATTGTGCTGCTATAAACATTCAAGTGTAGGTGTCTTTATTATTGAATGTCTTTTTTTTTTTTTCCTTTGGGTAAATACCCAGTAGTGGGATTGCTGGATGAAATGGTAGTTCTACTTTTAGTTCTTTGAGGTATCTCCATATTACTTTCCATAGAGGTTTTTTTCTGGGGGGACCCAAGTCAAGATAGACAAGAGCGATTCTGCATGAGAACTCTTCATTAGACCTGGCCTTCAAACTCAGATCTCTGAGTTACTCACAGTAAATGATTCAGGCTGAATTTTTGGTAGCTCTGTGGTTTTCATTTAAGCATACCTGTCACTGGCGGAGCAGGCAATTTCCTCCTCTGCTGCCTTGATGTGTCTATGGTTTGTACCTACACATAAAACACAGTGATCAATATACCTTTGCAAAGCCAAAGATATCTTATCTTCTAAATTTTCCAGGTCATGCAACAGCCCAGCAGAGGGAGTGAGGGACAAACACACCTGGTTCCTTTGCTTCTCAGCCCGTTTTTTTGTGAGGCGCCCACACGGTGCTATGTTTAATCCTGCGATGGTCAGGGCTGAAATCCGGCTCTCGATATCAGAAATCTTAATGCAACAGAAAGACAGGATTGGCAGAGAGAAAATACAGATGGGGAGAATCGTTGTTAAAAGTATTACTGAGTTTATAAAGAACAAATCTGCTTTGATGTATGTTCGTTCATTCGTTCAACTTCTACCAAGCACCTGTTTAGAGTGTATCGTGGGAAGATAAAATACAAGCCCTTTTTTATAAATTTACATTTCTTTTTTCTTTTTTTTTTTGAGACAGAGTCTCACTTTGTTGCCCAGGCTAGAGTGAGTGCCGTGGCATCAGCCTAGCTCACAGCAACCTCAAACTCCTGGGCTCAAGCAATCCTCCTGCCTCAGCCTCTCATGTAGCTAGGACTACAGGCATGCGCCACCATGCCCGGCTAATTTTTTCTATATATATTAGTTGGTCGATTAATTTCTTTCTATTTATAGTAGAGACGGGGTCTCGCTCTTGCTCAGGCTGGTTTCGAACTCCTGACCTCAAGCAAGCTGCCCGCCTCGGCCTCCCAGAGTGCTAGGATTACACGCGTGAGCCACCGCGCCCGGCCTATAAATTTACATTTCTAATTTGGTAGCTATAAGCATGTCAACAACCCTGTCAGAGTGTGCCTAGGGATAAATGGAAGCCTGGGGACACTATGGGGACCCCAGCCCAGGGCCACTGGACTTAGCATTGGGGCGGGGGTAGGATGGTCAGGGAAGGCTTCCTTAGAAGCCAACACGTAAACTGAGCTTTGAAGAGCAGGTGTGATTTATAGGCCCTGCTTCCTTCTTCCATAACTTCATGAATCTAAAACCACAGCACCAGGTTTTAGGAGGGAGGCCCAGCAGCCCCTGGTTCGAGCCCATTAAGAGGCCAAGTGGCTTTGAGAAACTCCCTCCCCTCTCTGGGCATCAGTTTCCTCATTTATAACACGGGAGGGTCAGAGAGAGAACTCAGATTTCCTTCTCGCAGAGTGCGAAGGCAGAAACAGAGAGCAAGAGCCCACTTAGTTCCTGGAGAGGACCCTGGACCGTTCCTGTCCCCAGACATGTAGGAGATACTGTCCCTGCCCTTAGGAGAAGGGCATTTCTATGCGGCTGGAACCATGCTAATCTAAGTATGTTAAATCTAAGAACCATGAAGTAAGTGCCTTCTCTTGGTTTCACAGATGAGGAAACTGTGGGTCAAAGGGATAAGTGATAAACCCAGCATCTCACAGCTGGTCTGGGGCAGGGCATAGAGCTAATGTCAATGGCCATGGTCTTGCCACGTTGCCATATTGTCAGAGGACTTGCCAAGGCCTGGCATGGGGGACACTGGAAGAGGCAGGAAAAGGCCTGCAGATGCGGGGGGAGGGGCAGGGATCTGCAGAGATGGCACGTCCTGGGTGCCGCTATCACATAGTACCCAGAAGCCAGGCCCAGCAGCCAGCATGTGTGTGCCTGACCCCTGAAGTCTCCGTCACCTCCTTTCACCTTCCACAATTTTGTGCTGCTCAAGACAAATTCTTATTTTGCCGTCATTTACTGAGGGCTTCCTTGGACAAAGCCTACTGGGATAGGTGCTAGAGGAAGAGCAGGGACAAGAGCTCAAGGGTCAGAAAATTTAGGGACGCCTCCCCTACCCCTGAGAGGTGGCAGCCTCGATCGGAGAAGGAGTGGGGGTAGGTGAAGACCACGTCTGTGGCAGCTGGTGGCAGGGTGCAAGAGCTGCTCAGTAACCAGCCCCAGAAGGAGCCATCATGAGCCCTGCCCCTTCCTGGCCCCCAGATGCCTTCCTGGTCCTACTGCTCAGGTTTCACCTTGAGAGTTGCATTCCTTTGGTTTATAGACCAATAAACTGCACAAGCCTCTGAGAAAAGTTGCAGGCTAAGCTTTTACCAGTCACTTGCAACTGGTGTGGATTAGATGCCCACATTCTTCCCTGGGAGCGGTTTTGTCGGAGAGCCTTGCTCAGAGGGCTCTAGGAGAGACGGTCAAGGCGAAAGCAAGCTGCTGACCTGACGTGCTGACTGTTAGGTTCTAGAATTAAGAAGCTTTAGTCCATAAGACAAAGGACAAAGAAAGAGGAAAGGAGGCCACTGAGGGCTGATTTTGCCTATATTTTGTTATCTCTCTCTATAACTTCATTCCTAAGACTGCATGCCTAATGAGCCATGGACTTGCCAGAAGGCGATGACCGATTCAGCTCTGAGTTTCCCGGGAGCCAAAGCCAAGAGCCCAGTGTAGGACTCTGTGTCCACAAGATAAAGACCAAGTACTCAGAAGAGCAGCTTTTCCTGACACTAAGAGTTGAGAGAGACTGTCTCTAGCAATGCTCCTAGAAACCACCTTGCATGGCAGCACTCTTAGCACACTCCCCACAGGTCACTCTGCAGCCTCCTTCAGCACTGGACAATGACAGTCTGTCCCAAAGGTAAACTCTATGTTGACAACATCCTTAGAATCTGTCCCAATCCAGGAGCACAATTTAGCACATCTATCCTCCTCCTTCCTGTAGGATGACCCTCCTATCATCATATATGAATCCCTCTGTGACGAGAGACTAGACTTTGGATGAGAACAGACAACAGGGAGTTGGAGGTTTTGTTCTCTGGCAGCAGCTCCCTGTGCAGGGAGAGTCTCCACGTGCCTGGAGGCCCTGCTGAGACATCTGCAGAGCTGACAGCAGGGTCCACAGTGTCCCATGCAAATTAAGGACTTCCAGGTGAGTGCCGGACCAACACCTTTCTCAGGAAACCACACAGCACAGTCTGGCTGAGAACGTGGGCTGTGAGGTCAGAAAGACTTGGGTCAAAAGCTAGATTTTATTATTTTCTAGCTATTGAAAGAAGCTTTGGGCAAGTGGTTTAACCTTTTGGAGCCTCTGTATCCTCAGATATTAAAGGAGAATAATTAGCCACTTCATGGGCTTGCTGTAAAGATTAAACACAATAATGAGGGAAAGCACAACTCCTGGCACACAGTAAGGCTCTCTGAACACTAGGTATTTATTATTGATAACATTATCGTTATATTTAAAAATAAATAATAAAATAGGCACATTTAAAAGCATGCAAAATGGACATTTGGGACAGACACTAGGATTTTCTGCCATAAAACATGGCTCTAAGAAGTTAAGTGTAGAAAAATTTGGAAGCGGGAATAACTAATTACCCAACAAAACCCTCCAAACCTCCATAAATATTACTTCCTGCTACATCATCCAAGAAGTATTTGCTGCACAACGTGCCAGAAAACAAATAATTTGATTCTGCTGTATATAACTTTGACAATAAATTGATCTAGTCTTGGAGAAATTTATGGAAAATGATCTTTTTGAGGAGAGTTGCTCTTCAGTCATTCTTACCGATGATGAATAGTAGTCAACAGGGCCATCTGTCTGCTGAGACCATTTCTAGTCCACAGCACTAACCCATCCATGGAGCGGAGAACTGTACCCTCTCATTCTCAAGAGTGGTTCGTGATGTTAAGAGTTGTGATTTTCTTTAAATTCAAAGTATTTCCTTTTAAAAATAAATGCCACCTGAGAGTGTCATCTTCTCTATCCAGAGGTGGTTTCTATTGACCACAATTCCCCAAGGGTGCAGTTTTAAGATGCAGAATCTATAGAAACATCAGTGGATCAGAAGTCTATACTGAATTTATGCTGCAGAGACCAGTGTTTCTCAAACTCAAGTAATACCTGGGCCCTTTTAAGGAAAAAAAATTGTCATGGGTCCCCGAGACTAGGTATATGCCTACAGACTCCAGTTGGGGAGTCGGTGGCTTAGTCCATGGTGGATTTTGATTGACAGAGTCTAAGGCCAAGGGAACACCCATAAAAACTGCAAACAGGCTTCTTCACAAAGTTACAGAGACTACAACAATCAGTTCTGAAATAGCCATATCTAAATCCGGCTTGCTCTTCATGCAAAATATTGGCCTGAGAAATCTACACTTCCAATCTCATTCATTTATTCATCCCATTTTTATCAAGTGCCAAATCTGTGTTAAGTACTGTGCTAGGCACAGGGTTACTGCGGTAAGTTACCTGCTAATCCTGTCCTCATGGAGCTTTTAGTCTATAACAAGGAAACTGGCATTAAATAAGTAATTAACAACGTGATAAGGGTCAGATAAGGGTGGTCTTGGGGTGGAATGGGAACCTGTATAGCAAGGAGACCTACATATGGTTCAGGACATTTGTCAAAGAGGAAACTGGCATAAGGTTTTACAGGGAAGTTCATTATATTATCAAGGCTATAATTTGGGAGAGAAGAGGGCTGTACTTTAAAAAAACGAGTATTTGGGGGATTCCACCTGGAAGCACCATATCCATGCAAGTGTGGTGGAGTTGATGGCAACTGACAGATACCATGGCTCCCTCTTTCCCCCTGGGGACTCCCATCTGGGCAGAGAGGAGAGTTCTCACCTGGAGCTCAGCATGGTGGACCTGGGCTGCAGCCGTGGCCACCTGGTCCTCCAGATCTGCCAGTTGGGTCTCATCGGTGCCACTGTGGATGCAGCGGGCAGCATCTTCCAGCTCAGTCAGCTGGCTCTCCAGGCCGTACACGGTGCCTGCTGCCAGGTACACCTGTGGGGAAAGAGCACTGCCTATGAGCTCAGGTCTGCAGCCCTAGCACTGGTTGGGGACCTTTCAGGGGACCCTGGTAATTCAGGGGAGTGAGAAAGAACTGGGCTGGACACTGGGGAAAACTGATTTGGATAACATTTAGCGACATTCTTCACACTGAAGTGGTAGCGTGGAGTCTTGCCACCCCCCCACTGTCAACCATACCTTCCCTCCCAACTTTCCTGGAAGGAAAATGTATTAGTTGCCTTTGACAAAACAGGACAAAATACATGACATCAGCTATGTAAACTGTCAATTGGTCCAGTGACTATAAAAATTAATATCACAAACAAAGAGGAAAACTCATAATCGAGTTTTGCCAATAAAACTTTTGGCTAGCATTTGGTAATTAAGAACAAAATTCAGAAAAACATGAAGGAGGCAAAATTAATTTAAAATAATTACACATTTTGAGTAAATTCTCTCTAATTATCTTCTGTTTTGCCTGAAACAGGGTAAGGGATTAAAATGAACCTGAAATCTGTTCAGGTTCAGAGCTACTGAAAACTGGAGAGCAAATCAGATACAAGAAGTAATCTGAGATAAAGAAAAGAAATATTTCGACTTATAAGTTTATAAGAGGATTCCCATAAAAGTGAGCAAACAGAAAGTAAAATCACTGGAGTAATTCCAGGCCAAGGGATGTGGGCCACGGTGAACAAGACAAATGCTCCCTTGTGATGTGATGAAACAACTGACAAATCAGTAATGTGATGAAACAACTGACAACCCAAGGAACGAGATGCATCTAAGGAAGGGGATTACTTAAAGAGAGGTTCTTGAGGTCTGATCGACGTATATAAAGTCCTAAACCTGTAATCATAGCAATTTAGAGTTGATTTGAATGAAATGCACGTAACAGTTTCAACTTGAGTTAAAAACATAATGGAGCTGAGATGGAGCCTAGAAGCTCAGACACATGGAATCACGCGCAGGTTTTGCACTGAGCCTTGGTGAGGGGAAAGAGCCCTGAGATGCTCCTGCTCTGTCGTTCGCTCGGTGTGACTCACCCGTCTGCGTTAAAACTGGCCATTTTGCAAAACATTTCAACGTGGGGCAAGGCAGGTACCGGCTCGAGGAAAGAACACGTGACTGTGCTTGATCACCAGGCACAATTCGCCGGGCTGTGGGAGCTTCCATCACAGCTGTCACAGTAAGACATCACAGACTCAGCAGTCACACAGGGGGCGACAACTGAATGTCTGCTGGGAACGTCTGTGCTTCTGTTTGCCTTTGTTTTTTTTTTATTTTATATATATATATATATTTTATCATATACTGAGTATTAGAGAGGTTCTGTTTCTCAAAGATCTTCACGATTTAATTATAGCCACCTAGTCTTTGTTTTCAAAACAAGAATTGGTTCTTTGTCGTAATTAAGAGGATGAATAAATATTTCAAAGGTATCTGAGTGGAGACATTACTCAAAAAATGTATCTCAGGCCGGGCGCTGTGGCTCACGCCTGTAATCCTAGCTCTTGGGAGGCCGAGGCGGGCGGATTGCTCAAGGTCAGGAGTTCGAAACCAGCCTGAGCAAGAGCGAGACCCCGTCTCTACTATAAATAGAAAGAAATTAATTGGCCAACTGATATATATATAAAAAATTAGCCGGGCATGGTGGCGCATGCCTGTAGTCCCAGCTACCTGGGAGGCTGAGGCAGAAGGATCACTCGAGCCCAGGAGTTTGAGGTTGCTGTGAGCTAGGCTGACGCCACGGCACTCACTCTAGCCTGGGCAACAAAGCGAGACTCTGTCTCAAAAAAAAAAAAAAAAAATGTATCTCAAAATTTCTAAAGTTGGAAAACTTCCCTTCAGAAGGTAAGAAAAATTAAGGAGAGGAGAGAGAGAGAAAGAGAGAGAAAGGGAGAGAGGGAGCGAGGGAGAGAGGAGAAAGCTACGGCAGTTTGAAGTTTATATTTTGGCTTACGCTTTTCCCTATTTATACCAAAAAAGTAATTTTATTTTAATAAGGTAATTTAAAATATAAACTTGCAGTTTTGCACAATGAAACGACATTTGGATTATTTAAATGAAATAAGTAAGGCAATAAATAAATAAAAGTAACTTGACATAACTTTGGCCTTAGAACTTTGATTTTACCAGAAACACATAAAACTCAATGTCATCCCACCCTAGGATTGTACCAGTCTAATTGCCTTTTACATCTTCAATGTGGCCATCCACTAATGTTCCTTGTTTTTTTTTTGCCAAGACAAAGCAATATGAAAAAAGCTCCAAGCCCTCAGCCAGGCCAGGATGTTCGTCATTTACTTTGTGTTCCCTAAAAGCACCAGAAGGAAGGACAGATTCAGTGGTTTGGCACTGACACCAGCTGAATGGGAATTTACAGCCAAAGTGATGGTGCCCAAAGGACTGGAGGAGGAGGATGATGATGATGATGATGATTATGATGATGATGACGACGACATGGCATGTATCTACTGAGCCAGGGGCTGAGCCAAGGGTTTTATGCAACTCATTTACGCCCATGGCAATCCTTGTGCATGTTAGTATTATACTATTAAAATCACTATCTTAAACATTTTTAGAAGAACATTTTATGTCCTAGGAAGGTTCAGGGGTTTTCTGAGGTCTCACAGCTGGGAAGTGCAGGAGCCTGGAACTGAGCTCAGGAGGCTGATGTCTGACCCTATGTCTTTATTCTCCTTGCCCTACTTGCCCTAATCTCAAAATGTTATGACATTTTACCTTTCAAATTCTAACATAAGGTGCTAGAGTTATTGTGGTTATAGATGGATGTAATACTTGCTGAGTGGCTGGCTTGACATAACAAAAGTGAACAAGCCATATGATGAAAATGCTTTGTAAAAAAAATAACACATCCGAAAAACGTTCATCCAGAATGGCTTGCTAGGGGCCACTTTTGGCGAGAACTGTGGTTACCATGTCTGAGTAATCTATGTCCTCTTTACACTCTAGCCCCTGATGTCCCTGACCCCACTGACAAGCCTTTCTCAGAGTGGTGGTTCAAGGGATGAGAATTGGTGTTCCCTTAAGACAAGACTTTGTAGTCAAACCCTCTAGGAAAGAGATTTCTTTACTGTAAGACTCTCAGAGTATTTAATATGCCAATATGTATCTCACTTTTCTAGAAGCATATGCAAATTTACCAAACTTATTTGACTTATTAGGTAGGTATCTTGTTGGACTTAGTAGCTTCCATGAAACACACTTTAGGGGACTAAGAGAAGATCATAACTGAGAGCATTCTTTTTCTTATTGTCTGAGGGCAGAGAACCACCTGAGTAACTGTGACCACCTCCACAGGTTCTTGTGTCATGTCCTCTCGGTGCAGTGGAGGTCGTAAGAGAGCCTCAAGAAGGAACAATATCCTCTGCTTGGTCCTGGATTTGGTGGCAGGGCTGGGCTCCCCAAGGGGCAGTTCCACTGTGTCTGCTGCCACTGGCGTCACTACCCATGCAATACGGGGCAGAGCTAAAAGGGAAGGTGGGACTGCCTTCCACTGCCTCTGTGGCTGGGCACTGTGGGTGACCTGAAGTTGCCTCTGTCATTTAGCAAAGATGAGAATGAGGCAGGTTCTCAGACAGCGGTGGGAGAGAGAGGGAGATGACTCCACTCTCCCCTTACAACCTTGTACAAATCCTGAAGGTGGCCCGCTTCCTACTGTTCACACCATGGGTCTGAGAATGGTCATGCCAGTTGTTCTCTGTTGATCCCCCAGGTCCATTTTCTACCCTTCTCTGTCCTGCTCTGCTCCCCGGGTGGCTGCCCTATGTGAACCTCATTCATCAGGGCTCCCCGGCTGGATCAGATGGGTTTGGCCAAGGGAGTCACCAGCAGGAGATTAAAGGCAGGAGTAGAAAGAAGAGTGTTTCTTTCCCTTCTCTCTCCCAGTGTGGGCACCAGGTTCTGGTCGCAGTAGGATTTGGGCCCTGGTTACACTGCTGAGCGGTGGTAGCAGCTTCTGCCCAAGGAACTGAGCCCCACTGTGTGCTCTGTGGACACTGGTGGTAGCCCAAGGTCGCTCCTGCCATAAGGGGAGACAAGAGCTGATTTCACAGTGCTAACACCAGGCAGCAGGTAAGAAGCCTCAGAGCTGAGAGACTAAGGGAATTCTAAAATACCGTGCCCTCCCCTAATGAAGTGGGGTCATAAGGCAGTTTATGAAAACAGGAGATTGGACATGTCAAAGTAACATTTCCTCATTTTATCTTCCGTAGTTCTGAAACCTTCGCAAAGTATATCTAAGGTGAACATTCTCTACCAAACGTTCTCTTTTAGCTTCCAGTCCTGGTCTGCGGTAACCAGTGTTCAGAAAGGCGAGAACAGTGTCGCCGCTGTTTCTATTTCTGATGGTCCCGGGGTCCCCTAGCACAAAGGAGAGCAGCAGCCGAGGAATGAAGGAGCGAAGGAGCACCGCTCTGCTCTTCATAACTCGGACGACAAAAGCCGAGATTCGATTAGATCAGCTGCGCCCGGAGGCCAGTTTAGGAGCCAGCCCTGGTCCTTTCCTACCGCTCAGCTAATGTTAGTGTGGCAGCAGACGCCAGGCTCTGCAACGCGCCACGGCTCTGTGATCTGCGGAATCAAAGAGAAGAAGAAAAGAGTCCTTCCTTCTGTGACTCAAAAGCCCATAGAACTCAAAGGAACAGAGATGGAGTTTCTTCTGGGGTGAAATGTGAAAAACTGACTGTGGGGGAGGGAAGCCAAGAGAAGGAGGCAGTTAACTCCTTGGGGACAGGAGAGGTGTGGGGTGATGCAGGACAGGGGAGCTGCCACCCCCAAACTGGCCTTTCAGCTGCTCATCCCCACTGGGGCAATGGGGCGTCTGACATCTTGAATCAGTGGGTAAGTGGATGTGTTTTGAATTGAAAGCGTTCATGAACCCAAGAAAAGAAACATAATATACAACAAAAGGATCTTGCAAGATGAAAACTCAGACAAGGCCACTGCATTTTTTCAACATGCTTCTTGGAGGCAGGGGGAAAAAAAGAAGCAAACTGTCTTTGCTTTAAACGTGCCATGAGAATGGATCATTGTGTCATTTAAATCCAGATAGTCATGCATTGTTTTCTTGCTACCATACTTTGTGATAAATACATTGCTTTCCTGGCGTACCCTATCTTTAACTTTTCAATTCTGTGTGTCCTGGATTAGGGCCGTCTTAGCACCATCAGCATTAAAAAAAGAACTGTGTTGTAAACACATTTGAAGATCAGAGACCCTGCACTTCAGAAGTGAAATGTTTCTTCTTTTGAAAAAGGGCTTCACTCCTCGGATGGAGTCACACGTCAGCTAAAGATTCGCTCTGGGCGAATCCTCTGTGCCAGGCTCTGGGCTGAGGGCTGGGGCTACAGGAACTCATGCATCTGGTCCCTAACCTGGGGGTGATTTAGTCCCGACCCCCCCCCCCAACATTTGACAATGTCTGGAGACATTTTTGACTGTCGCACTAGGAGGGCACTGCCACCGGCAGCAAGTGGGTAGAGACCAGGGGTGCTGCCAAACATCCTACAATGCGCAGGACAGCCCCACACAAAGCGTTACCCCACCCAAATGTTAGTAGTGCCGGTCTAATAGGAGACAGATGAGTGAACAGAAAGGACAGCAAATGAGGGAAGTGGCAGAGAGACACACAATTAGGTTTTATGGGAGCTCAAAGGGAGAGAGTCTGTACCTTTTAAAGAGAAATATTGGCATTTTTTTTTGAATCTGGAATCATTTTGATTTCTTGTTTCAATCACTATCAAAAAATACCTCTAGTAACAGTTCCTAATTTCTGGGAACATCCTTCACTAGGGTACCCCAAAAGCAGGGGTGACTCTACTGGGTCTACAAAGACGGAATCACCTGCCTTGATTTGATGCCAGCTTTGGGAGCCAACTGGGGACGGTGACTACGGCCTGAGTGGCTGATGTCCAGATCTCTCGGTGTCACCCCTGGTCTAGAGTTTTGCAAAATTCTCATCATCAGGCATTTACTGAAACACTCAACAGTGATTGTGGATATTTACATATAATAATCTATCATACTCTTTCTTTCCTCACAAGTCAGAAGGATAGAAAAATCCACTGCCAGCAGACACACCAAACCAAACATCCATAGAGAGCATTTACCATGAATGGAGCTTGCGGGACCGGAAGTGGCTCTGGGTGAGTGAGTGGTGAGTAAATGTTAAGGCCTACTGTAGATTGTACAGACATTGTACACTTAGACTATACTAAATTTATTAAAAAAGTATTTTTCTTTAATAAATTAATTTAATATAATGTTTTTACTTGATTAACTTTTTTTTAGCTTGACTCTTGTAATAATACTTAGCTTAAAACAGACACATTCTACAGCTGTACAAAGATATTTTCTTTCTTTATATTCATATTTTTAGAAGCTTTTTTCTATTTTTAAAATTTCTAATCTTTTTTTTTTTTTTTTACCTTTTAAACGTTTTTGTTAAAAACCAAGACACAAACACACACATCAGCCTAGGCCAACACAGGGTCAGGATTGTCAATATCACTGTCTTCCACTTCCACATCTTGCCCCACTGGAAGGTCCTCAGGGGCAATAACACTGGTGGAGCTGTCATCTCCTATGCTAACAATGCCTTCCGGAATATCCCTTGGAAGGCCTGCCTCCTGCTGGGGGCTGTTTTACAGTTAACTTTTTTTTTAAATATAAGTAGAAATAGTACACTCTACAATAACTATAAAAAAAAAGTATACTATAGTATACATATAAACCAGTAACGTAGTCTTTTATTACCATTATCAAGTAGTATGTCTTGCACATAATTGTACGTGCTATACTTTTATATGATTGGCAGCGCAGTAGGTTTGTTTACACCAGCATCACGTGTGAGCAATGCATTGTCCTATGACCCTACAACAGCTACAATGGCACTAGGCCATAGGAATTCTTCACTCCATTCCAATCTCATGGGGCCACTGTCACACATGCGGCCTGTCATTGACCAAAACATCGATATGCGGCGCCGTGACTATAATTGTATTTGCAAATACCTTTTTGGGGGTATAAACTACATGGAACTGAATCTGAAGAAATGTAAGCGCTGTCTCCCCCCCCCCCCCCGGCATATTTTGATTTGATTTTGCCTTCAGAGATGTACAGATTTCCTCAGGGGACCAGCTGACCTGGCTGGTGGCCTGTAACCTTCCTACAGTGTTGAAGCAGGTCTGAGCACCTTCCCCTTTACCCCTTCCCTCCTTTCCAGAAACCCCCTAGATCCCACCTCCCTGTCCTGCAGCCCAGACCCTCAGGCAAGGCTGCCTTCTGGCAGGAAAGGAGCTGGCCCCAGGGACGGGCCGGCCAGCCTGCATCAGGATCCTCTTAGGATCCTCTGACGGAGCAATGAGTGAAAACGGGAAGACCAAGGCAACTGTGACTTCCGGGCCATCCCACCTACACTTCAGTGAAAACAGGTGACTTTTCAACAAAGCAAAATCACCAGCAGGACTTATTTTATTTCCTTTTTTTCTCAAGTGTCTTCCTCTTTTTTTTTTTTAGACAGAGTCTCACTCTGTTGCCTGGGCTGGAATGCCGTGGCATCAGCCTAGCTCACAGCAACCTCAAACTCCTGGGCTCAAGCGATCCTCCTGCCTCAGCCTCCCGAGTAGCTGGGACTACAGGCATGCGCCACCATGCCCGGCTAATTTTTTTCTATAGGTTTTTAGTTGGCCAATTAATTTCTTTCTATTTTTAGTAGAGACGGGGTCCTGCTCTTGCTCAGGCTGGTCTTGAACTCCTGAGCTCAAACGATCCACCCACCTCGGCCTCCCAGAGTGTTAGGATTACAGGCGTGAGCCAACACTCCCAGCCAGGTGTCTTCCTCTTGAAAACAACAAATGCATTTCTTGTCCCAGGATGAGAAAAAGAGCTAGGAGTGTTTGTTATTAAGGTTGGGACCACTTTTAACAACTTATTCTTTGGTGTCTAGGAATGGGATCATTAAGGGGGTTGGCTGATGACATGCCTGTCAAATACAAATAAGACTATCTCATTTTTATTGGATACTCATTTTGTGCCAAGCACTGGGCTAAATGTTTTATTTCCAAAGACGAAATGTAATTTTAAATATACTTGATGTTAGGCATTTTCCTCTTGGTCAGCCAGGCCCACCAGCAATGGCTAGTTGGCCTCCTTGTGGAGGCAGAGGGTGAGGACAAGGACAGGAATGTGGGGGAGGGGTGATGAGGCAGAGTCTGGGGTCCAAACGTGCTCACAGGGTAATGCAGGTAATGCAATAGGGTCTTCATTCTTAGAGTGCTTAGAAAATTCTGGTGTGGGGCGTGGTAGCCTCAGGAGGCAGGAAGTGGGCTATGTTCCTGTTGCTAATGGCACAGGGAGGCTTGGGTGATTCACTGGAAACAGAAAAGGTAGATGACTGTGTTGGTATCTTGTCAGGGAATCAGGGAAGACAGGCAGGAGCAACCTAAGTTCTTTTGGCCACCACCCTCCTCCCCACTGGGCACTGACAAAACTCCACCTGGTCCTCTTGGCTCTCTGGTATAGCTACTATATACCCTCCTCCCTGCCCACCAAGCTGCACTGTGCTTTTGATCCCAGCAGCTCACATCTACACGGACAACTGTCTTTGGGCTACTGGAGACACGTCATCACCTGCATGCAGAGAGACCGAAGTGCCTGCTGGCTGTCGGAGGAGCCAGTTCCTACTTTGCCTTAGGTGAGGACAACTCTGAGATGTAACTTACATTCCAGAGCTCCCTGCAGGATCAGGCTGAAGCTACTCTTTGTGTAAAATCATATCCTTTGCTTAGATTCTTTCCTCTCCCTTCCCTTCCCCGCTGCTCCCTTACCACCCCTCCTTGGGAGCACTTTCCTAACGAGTCACTTGCATACAAATAAATCCCCATCTATCTCAGGGTCTGCTCCTGGGGAACCAAGCCTGTGACCCTTCCTGAGAACATATTTACTGCGGTGTGGTGACAGTGTGTGTGCGCGTCCTCACACTCCTGGTGGTGAACTGCAACGTCATCAGCTTCCTCGAACACATTCACCCTTGACGGGGCACAACCACACCCTCTTACGTTTTCTTCCAGGGAAGTCAGCTGCTCGTCCAGTCTCACTTGGTCTGTCCCAAGAGGAAATGTCCCCTTCTCTCTGTCAGGAGGGGCTGGTGGGGACTCCCAGGGCCCCGTAGACTCTGCTATCAGCTCCTCTGTGGCGTTGATAACTTTCAGGACTTCTGTGGAGATGTTGCAGAGAGAAACAGCAGAATACTTCTGTTTGGCCCAATGACAGAAAGGGACAGAAGACAAGAACAGCACATTAACAACGACACAGGAATTCTATGTTACTGTGACACTCGTCATCATGAGATCGATTCTGTAATTCCACACACAAACACCAATGGGCCGAAGGAATGAGGAGATAAAAATCCACGCAGCGATTGGACTTGGCCTGGTTTCTGTGAGTCACAATGAATTAATTCAGATTCTTAGGGATGGAGGGAGAAAGGAGAACCAGAGTAGAGGCTGTATGTCCTCTGCCCGCTGCAGATAGTTTAATATCTATCGTCTCATTTTCTGGGTGATATTCTACTTGCTCAATATAACTTCAGTCGTAGACTCTGTCAAAGTGTCTACACTGTGGTCCAGTGGGTAGCTTTCTGGAATGGGAGTTAGGAGACCTGGGCTCCACATCTGGCTCTAACTTTATCCAGTTACGGGACCTTGGCCAAGTTATTTCCCATTTCTGGAAGTCATGTTCCCTATCTCACGCCCATTCTCCCTTGCTTTCTCCTACCATGGAGGTGATCGGAAAAATACTCTATTTCCCAGATTCCCTTGCAGCTTGGGGTAGTTCTGTGACGTAGTTCTGACAGTGAGCCTGGAGGAGAGGCCTACTGCGGGGTTTTCTAGAAGAGCTTTTGTTTTCCTAATCAGGGGAATAGATGCATCTGATGCCCTCCTCCACTCCCAGCTTATTTTTGCCTTGAACATAGATGTGTGGCTTATGAGCCAACAGGAATCCATTTTTAAAAAGGCAACGTTGTCCATATGAAAGCAGATATGTTACCTTTGTCTTAGAAATGAAACATATATTTAGAAAGTTCGCACCTTATTTGGTAGACTTGGTGTCTTTGTATGTCTTTTGAAAAGAAAGACATATAATGGAGGGGTTCAGGAAAAGAAAGCTAGAGCACACCACCATGGAAGAGAAAGTGTGACAATTTGCACACTTACCCTTTGATCACATGTTCAGTTGGAGTCAGGGTGGAGATCTCTCCTTCTGTTTAAGCATCTCTTAAGTCTTTCTCATTAGTAACCTTGACCTTCTAATGACCCTGGACTATTTGGAAATTTGTATAAATGGAATCCCTGTTCTCCTGGCATACTTGTGGCCCCATCCCATCCATTGGCACAGTGACATATGTCCTGGCCCCTGAAGGCATTTGCATTTGCCCTTAAGTCAGAGTGGGGAGTCCCTGGCAGCTGGCTTGAGGAGAGCTCACAGTTTCATCTGGAAGGTTAGAGACCTGGACCACTTCAGAAGAGAACTAGTCTCCAGCTGGCAGAAATGACTGAAAAAATTATACGAAAACTGGACAAGATCTCTTGGTTGATTGGTTGATGTCCCAGTTTGGCTTTCCACTGGGAAATGCAAACTGGAATCCACAATAATTTCCCACCTGTAGGAATTTCTCACCTGTGTTTCTTGTCTGTGACCTAGGAATGGGCTGTTTGCTTGGACTCAAGGATGGGAGTAGACAGTGCACCTACTGGAGTTTGAGCTAACTGGGATTTAACTAGCTGTAGGACAAGAGCAGGGTACCCAACCTCCCCAGTTCCTTAGTGTACTCACCGGCCAATAAAAGAAATCAGAAGATTTCTTACAGGGCTAATGCTGACTTGTCATATAAATGTCCTGTTTCCTGCCCAGGCTAGAGCAAAGTGGAAAGCACTTTCTACAACTATGTTAAAAAAAAAAGCTATATTTAGCACTGGACGGGGATTTGTTCAGATGAAAAGCTGGTGGAGATTCAGAGGTGGCTGACAGGGAGCCCTGTATGTGGGAGAAACAGAAAGCTCAAGGATCTTTTCTGATTCTGTTGCTCACAGCCCCAGAGGGACGAGCTGAATGGCACAAAGGAAGCACGAGTCAGGAGCCCAGCCAGGGCAGTCCACATGGTAGCTAACTTGAGTCCAGATGTTAATCGCAAGACAGATCAGATTTGAGTTTCATGATAGCAAATAAGGGAGAGGCGAAGGCGTGGGGACAGTCAGCTGACAGAGTAGGTGTCTACTGCAGAATAGGAAGGTGTGCCCCAGAGACACTTGTGACCAATGGACCCACAGATGCTGGAATGGAAATGGCTGATAAACCCATGCAATAAAATCCAACCTTCTGGTGATCAAAGAAATGCAAATTGAACAACAAATTTATTAATGCCAGATACATGCATGATTCTCTTTAAAAATGGCAAGTACATGCTCACATGCCTTTGGCATGAACAGAGCAGAGCATGTGCTTTAAGTTGTTGATCCTCATGGGATGTGTGTTTGCTCTGATGCTCCCATGCTCTCAGTCTCCTGATGACTGATGCTCAGCTCTGAGAGCCCAAGTGTCCACTTTTAGGGTTCAGCCTATGTCACAGCCCCATGGGGAACATCAAATCCATAAAGTCAGCTCCACAACCATGGGGGCTGGAACAAACAGTCCACCACTTGGAGAACAGAAGACGATAAAAAGCCACCCATGTCGCAAACCCACAACAGAACCACATGGAAAAGAGTTACAGAAAGGTAAGATGTTCTGACTCCTCTCTGCCCGAGGTAGAGTTTCTGCAATTGCTCATCAAGGAAGTTACAAAACTAGCGTCAACCTTACCAAAGACTCACACTCCCAGTCTGGCTCATAACTGACAACGGTACCAAAGAAGACCTTTAATAATAAAGTTATCTGCCATTCCAAGACTGGGGCCCTGCCACAATGGCCATTTTAATGGACGCCAAAAAGAAGACCAAGTTGGGACCCATGCCACAGACCCCATTTTATTATTTCTTTTCTCTCTAGGGACTGCAGGGCAAAGCAAGACTTCCTTGTTTTTTGTCTCACGTCCCAGAACTTTAGCCTTAGCAATCCTTCTATCTTTTCTCCACGCACTTTCGTTTTATATAAAACATGTTGCCATAAACAAATTCTTATTCCATTTACTCCTCCTGATAAATTATTTTCCAAAGACATGCAGAATGCAAGGTATTGCCCGGGGAGATCCTGAGCCTGTAGAATTCTAAAGAAGAAAATATTTTTCATTCTAAACACTAGATGAACCTGCTTATTAACGATCTCTGCAAATTCTCCTGAGCTTTCCCCACTGTTATGATTCATTTCAAATCTTTGTGCTGGATAAAGAAATGCAAACTCATTTTGAGCTGGAATAAACAGGAATGCTCCTTTACCAGAATATCTCAAGCCTGTGAACGTGAGAGCCTCAGGAGCATGTTCTAATCATAAGATGCCTGTCTTCATAGGGAGAGAGACCACTTTGGAATTAAAGACGGGGGACTCCAGTCCCAGCTTGCCCCTGGTTCTTATGTGTGTCTGTCTGTCTCATCTGGGCTAAAACAGAGTCAGTATCTGGCTGCATGTAGAGTGCTGGCCCATGCCACAGGTCCTGCTATCTACTTATGTAATTTGATATAAGTCTTGATATAAGATAATGTGGGAAAAAAAACTTTTGAGGATCAAATGATGTCTATAGGCGTCTGGGGCAGAAGAGAGATTTTCCTAGCTCCACCTCAGGGACTGTTCTGACACCTGTAATAAGAGTAAAAAGGCAAAACAGGTAGAAGCTGAAGTGACATTGACATTTGGGTTTGGGGAGATACAGAAGCAAGCAGCATGCTCAGTGTCAGGAAACAGGGAGGGACACTGGCGAGGGAACCGCCACTGCAGGGTCTTGCAAAGGACCTCCTTACCCGTTAGGCATGGTGGGCACCCAGCCTGGGGCCCATCATTCTTTTAGGGGCCCATGGGCATGTTTTACTTTCTTTTAAAATTGCGGGGAAAAGAACGAACTCTTTTCTACAGAAACATGTCTTAATACATATTAGCATATTAATATTTATAGCAACAGTTATAAAATATGATATTTTAATGTCTTTTATGGAGGAAGGGGCCCATGAAGGCAAAAGTGCGTAGGCCCACCAAAGTCACGAATTGCCCTGGTCTTGCTGCCTGGAGCCCATCTGTGGAAGGCACTGGGCAAGATCTGGTTCCCAGAGTGGCTGGGCAGCAGGTGAGGCCTGTCCTTCCGGGGCTGTGCCAGCTCCAGACGTCAACAAGGCCCTGAATGGGCATCTGTTATACAAAGGGGCTGTTCATGAGCACACGGCAGGACCCTCCCCCAACCCCCCCTCCAGAACAACAGAGGGAGACGATGGGGGCTGCTGTGGTCTTGTGGTTTCCCACTGGGGACTGATGCTAAATATGATCTCCTCATTTGCACACACATGCCCACCAGTTCTGGGACATTCAGGTTATACTGTCTGTGTGACTTTGGGAAAATAACTCAACCTCTCTGAGCCTCAGCTGTGGAATGGAGATAGCACCATCTAGCTCGAGAGGCTTTTCAGAAGAATAAGACAGCATGTGGCAGGTGTCCATACGGTATCTGAGTCCAGAGCTGTGGGCCCCTCATCGAGCACCTCCCGCTGGCCCTGCAGGCCTGTTTCCTGGCTGGAGGTGGGCGTGTTATTGGTGGCTGGTGGCTTAGCACCTCTCATTATGCATTGTACTCCTGCAACAGCTTTCCTTGCCTTCTTATTGTTTCCAAGAATGAATGCTACCATTACCCAAAAAAGTTAAATTTTGCTGTTCTTTGTTTCCCAGGGTTTTTTTTTCTTTTGCAAAATTAAGAATATTTTAAAAAGAAAAAAAAAAGCCATTTTAATGTACTGTTGCCTACCACCACCACAATTTCATAAAGAAGGGATAACTTAACACCAAAAAGGAAGTGTATAATTACAGAATATAGAAAAGTCTGTCCTAAAAGATGACAGTAATCAACCTATCAGAGAGAGAGAGAGAGAGAGAGAGAGAGAGAGAGAGAGAGAGAGAGAGAGTTAGTTTTATATTTCTCGTTATTTCCCAGTTCCAATGAGTAACAAGAAAGATGAGAGAGGACCCTGCGTTTCCCTTTTGGCGGGAGCAGACTGAACCATAACACACTGATCCGCAATGAGAACAAGGAACTGGGCCCTGCAGGGGAGGCAGAAGC